GGAGGCTGAGGCAGGAAGATTGCTTTAGCCCAGGAGTTAGAGCCAGCTAAGGCAATGTAGTAAGACCCTGTTTTTACTAAAAGAAGGAAAAAAAAAAAAATTTGCCAACATGGTGGCACAAGCCTGTAGTCCCAGCTACTCAGGAGGCTGAGGCGGGAGAATCACTTGAACCCAGGAGTTCAAGGCTGCAGTGAGCTATGACCACACCACCACACTCTAGCCTTGGTGAGAGAGCGAGACCCTATACCCCCCCCCGCCAAAAAAGAATAAATAATAATAATGTGCTGGGACAACTCGTTAACCATTTGGAAAAAGAGAAATTGGATCCATATTTCACACCACACAGAAGAAAAATTTCCAAACATATTAGGGATATAAATGAAAAAAAAATGAAACTACACAGATACTGGAAGGCAGCATGGGTGTGTTCCTCTTTAACCACAATGTTAGGGTAAAGCTTTCTAACAATTATTCAAAATCCAGAGGCAATAACAAATCAAGAAGCTGACCACATAAAAGGAAGAACATTTCCTGACTGAACAGCAAACATAAAGTCAAAGACAACTTAGGAACTGAGAGAGAACGTCTGCAGCATACACTGCATGAGTGAAAGGTCAATGTCCCTACCGTATAAAAAATTCTTAAATACCAAAGGGAAAAGGCCAAAAACCGAGTAAGAAATGAGAAATAGATATGAAAAGAAAATTCATACACACAAAAAGAAATAGACCTTAATAATATTGACCTCATTGTAATTACAGAAAAATGCAAATGAAAACTACACTGAGGGCTCACTGCAGCTAATGGATTGGCAAAAGTTAAAAAGCCTGACAACATACTCTGTAAGCAAGGCTGTGGCCAAACAGGCACTCAGATGCTGCTGGTGGGTGGGCTGACTGGAAGGTTTGGAGAACTTGGACGTAGCTAGCAAAAAAACTATGAAAGCACTTACCTTTTTAAAAATTTTTATTTTATTTTGTTTTAGAGATAGGGTCTTGCTCTGTCGCCCAGACTGGAATGCAGTGGCGTGATCTTGACTCACTGCAACTTCCGTCTCCTGGGCTCAGGTGATCCTCCTGCATCGGCGTCTCCAGTAGCTGAGACTATAGGTGAGCACCACCACACCCGACTAATTTTTGTATTTTTAGTAGAGACAGGGTTCTTTCCACATGTTGGCCAGGCTGGCCTCGAACTTCTGACCTCAAGTGATCTGCCTGCCTTGGCCTCTCAAACTGCTGGGATTATGGATATGAGCCACCGTGCCCAGCCTTAAATTTTTTTTTTTCTTTGAGACAGAGTCTCATTCTGTTGCCAGGCTGGAGTGCACTGGTGTGATCTTGGCTCACTGCAACCTCTACCTCCCCGGTTCAAGTGATTATCCTGCCTCAACCTCCCAAGTAGCTGGGATTATAGGCATGAGCCACCATGCCCACCTAATTTTTGTATTTTTAGTAGAGAAGGGGTTTCATGTTGGCCAGCATGGTCTCGATCTCCTGACCTCGTGATCCGCCCACCCCAGCCTCCCAACGTGTTGGGATAACAGGAGTGAGCCACTGTGCCCGGCTGCTTTAAATTTTTTTTTAAGAGACAGGGTCTCACTCTGTCACCCAGGCTGGAGTGCAGTGGTGCAATCATGACTCACTGCAGCCTCAAACTCCTGGGCTCGAGTGATTCTCCTGCCTCAGCCTACCGAGTAGCTGGGACTACAGGCGTGCGTCACCACGCTCAGCTAAGTGTCTTTTTTTTTTTTTTTTTTTTTAAAGTAGAGACGGGGTCTTGCTATTTTGCCCAGGCTGGTCTTAAATTCCCGATCTCAGGTAATCTTTCTGCCTTGGCTTCCCAAAGTATTGGGATTACAGGCATGAGCCACCACACAGGGAACACACTTACCTTTTGACCCAGCCCTCTCCCTTCTGGGAAAATGCTCCAAGGAAGCACCTCCAAACAATATGGAAATACATATGCACACAAGTACTCACTGTAGCACTGGGTGTAATGATTAAAACAAAGCACTGAGGCCAGGCACGGTGGCTCATACCTGTAGTCCCAGGTCACTTGAGGTCAGGAGTTCAAGGCCAGTCTGGCCAACATGGTGAAACCTCATCTCTATTAAAAATACAAAAATAAGCCGGGTATGGTGGCACCTGCCTGTAATTTCGGCTACTTGGGAGGCTGAGGGAACTGCTTCAACCTAGGGGGTGGAGGATGCAGTGAGCCAAGATTGTGCCACTGCACTCCAGCCTAGATGACAGAGTGAGACTCCACCTCAAAACAGAAACAAAAACAAAAAACCAAAGCATTAGAAACAACCTAAATGCTCGCACACAGAGGAGTGACTGAAGAAATCACAGTACACTTTAAATGGAGTACTGCGTAGCTGTAGAAAGAATGAGGACAATCTCTATGAACTGATGTGCAGTGATTCCCAGAATATATTAAGTAGAAAAAAATCCAAAACTCAATATTAAATCTGTAATATACTACCTTTTACGTAAAAAAGAAAAGCAAATAAGAAACTGATTAGTTACTTACAGGGAGTAGGTAAAAAAAAAAAAGAGGGATTGGGTAGGGGAGAAAACAAAATGGAATACAAATGGAAAAATGCAATCAGATATGTTTTAAATGAGTAGCATAATTGTACTAAAGGTGCAAAGAACTAATTTAAGCCATTTGTAAATTCAGTGTTATCACCACACCCTGAGTTAGCTAAAGACACAAAGAACTGAACAAATACCAAAAGCATGCCCAGAGTTTCCCATCAGGGTCAAGGCAGGCACTTCTGAACCCTTTACCTGTGTTGTAGGACTCGGCAAGTCAGTAAAGGCACCGTGGATGATGGGGTCCAGGTTCTTACTATCTAAGGAGTTACAAAGGTGGGCGGGGGAAGGGAGAACACCTGCTGTAGCACAGGAGTGGGGCTGGGATATCTGTGGGAACGCACGGCCTGTACATAGCAATTAGATAAAATAGACATCTCTGTGTGTGTAGGTGGCAGGTGCTCATGTGCACACGCTCACACCCCTACTCCTCCCGCTCTGCTGACTGAGAGGGCCTAGAAGCAATGCTATATGGCAGTGTCCAGGTCTGGGTTTCTGAACACCACTGTTCAAGAAAGAATAGGGCTCCTTGGAGAAACGGCTGGTTCAGGGCTGGGAGAGAGAAGACATGAGATGAGCCCAGAGCATCGAACCATGACAGAAAGTATAAAGTGCTTAAAGGCTGGTAGGGCCACCTCAAACCATCTAAGGAAAAAGCCATTCCGAGGGTCTCCCACTGACCGAATCTCAGACAATCAGAACAGCAACATAAATAGCGTTTGTAAAAGATTCTAATCTATAGCATCAAGTAAAAATTCGTGGATCCATCCTGATATAACTAAATGGAAAAAAAAAAACAAAACATGGGGTTGGAAAGCTCTTCCTACAGTTGAATGGCAGGTAACAAATACAGAAAGAATAATATTAGAAAAATCACCATTGGGGGCGGTGGCTCACGCCTGTAATCCTGGCACTTTGGGAGGCTGAGGCGGGCGGACCACCTGAGGTCGGGAGTTTGAGACCAGCCTGACCAACATGGTGAAATCCCACCTCTACTACACAAAATTAGCCGGGTGTGGTGGTGCATGCCTGTAATCCCATTTACTCAAGAGGCTAAGGCAGGAGAATCGCTTGAACCCGGGAGGTGGGAGTTGTGGTGAGCTAAGATCACGCCATTACACTCCAGCCTGGGCAACAAGAGCGAAACTCCATCTCAAAAAAAAAAAAAAAAATCACCATATGACAACACAGTAATAAACATTTCAGGCAAGAATAATTAATGGATGCTACAACTAGTTGGTGAATGTTCAATAAAAACGGGATACTCGTCTCCCCATAAGACACTTACTAATTATCAAAGGAGAAATACTAACTTGACCGTAGTGAAAATGGGCAGACCAGCTCAACCCAGGATCAGAGTTCCCGTCCCCAGTGAAGGGACAGACACCATCATCCACTCCTGGTGGGATACACCAGCAGGGACTGGTCACATCAATGGTGTTGCTGCCCAAAACATGGAATCTGAATCTGACGGGAAGACATGGGACATATACCCTGACCAAGGGTTACTCTAAAAAAATAAATGGGTTGCACTCTTCAAAAAAGTCAAGGTCATGAAAAACAGAGAAACCGATCCAAAGGAAAGGAAACTAAAGAGATATGACAGGGGATCCTGGACTGGATCCCACGTCAGGAGAAACAACAGAGCTTTTTTTTTTTTGCTATAAAGGATGTTAAAGGGACAACTGGAGAAACATGAGTAAGGTCTACCATTAGAGAATAGCACTGGATCAGTGTCAACTTCTTCATTTTGATCACTGTACTGTGGTTTTATGTGTCCAAGTGTCCTTATCTTGCGGAAATATACACAGAAGTATTTTAGATTAAAGGGGTGTCATGTATGAAGTGACTCGCATTCTGTCCAGAAAAATAAGAGAGAGAGGGAGAGAGAATGACGAAGCAAACATGGGAAATACTGATGTTGGGGAACTACAGTTGGGGAACTGGAGGGGGTAGAAATCCTCTACTTTATTTTTTATTTTTTTTTTTGAGATGGAGTCTCCCTCTGTCACCCGGCTGGAGTGCAATGGCCCGATCTTGGCTCACTGCAACCTCTGCCTCCTGGGTTCAAGCGATTCTCCTGCCTCAGCCTCCCCGAGTAGCTGGGACTACAGGCACGCCACCAAGCCCAGCTAATTTTTTTGGGTATTTTTAGTAGAGACAGGGTTTCACAGGGCCAGGCTGGTCTCGAACTCTTGACCTCTGGTGATCTGCCCACCTTGGCCTCCCACAGTGCTGGGATTACAGGTGCAAGCCACCATGCCCGGCCCCTCTACGCTCTTTTCTACAGGAGGGAGGCCACATGGTGAGAGCACGCCAAACCCGGTGTTTTCCCATACTAGCACATCACACGTGGAAAACCAGGCACCGCTCAGAAATACCTTCCCGCTATTCTGTATTTACCAATTGAATTGTTGACTCTGTCTCCTTTCTTCTTCTTATTTTTCTTGTTCTTGCCCTTTGGCTGAGGGGACTCTGCCAGCACCAGCTTGTTGTTCTGATGCTCGCTGGGAGAGGTGGGCTCCATAGGGGTTGGGTTTGACTTTTCTTCCTTGATGTGGTTCAGCTGCTTTTTGTTATTGTTATTACTGTTGACTTTTCTCTCCTCTCTTTTCTGCTCTGTGATGGATGTGAGATCAACCACCTTAGCCTTTGACTCAGTCTGGGCCCGAGGCTTGGGCTGCCCCTCTGTGGCCTTGGGCGGCTCCGTGGGCCTCCTTGCTGGCTCGCTGCTGGCCTTGCTGGTCTGCCTCAGCTTCTGCTTGCCATTTCCCTCTTTATGGTGCTGCATGATGTCAAAGAAAAAAGAGAGTGGCTCATGCTGCTTCCCATTCACCTCCTTGGGGAGGAGAAATTTGGAGTCTCTGGTGATGACGGGGTCTGCAGCATCCCCCTCAGCCCCTAGCCCTGGCCTGGGCTCTGAGTGGTTCATATGCCTGGAGGGGGACTGAGAAGAGGTTTCTGGTGCTTCAGTTTGCTCTAGTGAGCCATTGTGGATGTTTTCAGAGTTAGGGACAGACTCTGTTGCTGCCTGGAAATTTCCAGTGAGCATGTCCAACTTGGGGCAGTCTTTACTTGGCCTCTCCTTCTTCTTCTTTTTTACAGCTCTTAGCTTCTGAAGCTCCTGAAGCCGCTGAAACTCCTCCTTGAAACGCTCCTCCTCTTCTTCCTCCTCCTCCTCCTCCCGCCGCCTCTGCTCCTCCTGGAGGTGCAGGTGCTCCCGGGCCCTGGCCTCTGCTTCCAGGCGAGCTTTCTCCTCCAGCTGCCAATGCGAAAAGAAGGCAGTTTAAGACTACAGTGAGTGCTAAAACTTAAATCATGCAGAAAAACTAAGATAATTTTAAAAACGAATCACATATGGAACATAAACTCTGAAGAGGCTGTAATACATCAGAACTTAACACACACCCACCTCCAATTCTCTTACTCTACAGGACTGTTAAACTTCATCTATTTACTAAAGTATATGCTTACTTTTTTGGGTGGGGGGGTGGTAGTTAACAAAAAATTCCCCATAGCCTTTGACCTGGTGCTAAACACAGTAACCAAGGGCAAAGCAGCTGCAAAGCACACATCCAGGGAGCCAGCTACCCCTTCACAGGTGCGGCAGGGCATCATGCTGCCTGGAGGAATGGATGATGTAACCAATACCACAGCCTGCCTGGGCAGTACTGAGGCTGCACACGTGCCGCCAGAACTCTGGCCACCTTTCCAGGCGAAGGCTAATGCATTCACCTGAACAGGGAATGTAAGAAATGTGTAGCGGCTCACACCTGTGATCCTAGGAGTTCGAAAGCAGCCTGGGCAACACGGCAAAACCCTCTCTCTACAAAAAGTATCAAAATTAGCTGGATGTGGTGGCGTACGACTGTGGTCCCAGCTATTTGGGAAGCTGAGGTGAGAATCGCTTGAAGCCAGGAGGTCGAGGCTGCAATGAGCTGTGATGGCACCACAAAAAGAAATGTGTAGTAAAAGAAACAGAAATTCCTTCTTCCCACCCTAGCAGATAAACAAAAGTGCCCTATATTTTCACTAGTGGGACAGAGCAAATGACTCACTGTCCAAATTGATGGAAAATTAATTTTCATCCCAAGTGAAGACTGCCTTTGAGTAGTGATGTATACATACATCCTCCAGGGGCACAAATGGAAACTGTTCTTTGTGTTCAGAAAGCAGATGGGAGTCATCAGTGTCAGGAGCACAGCTCCATCCACCACCAACCTTTAGAAATGCTGGGGCTTATGAGAAACTCTGGCAAAAGCATTTCTCCTAGAGAAACAGAAAAGTACTCCCCAAGTGTAAATTATTTTTCACAATATTATTAACAGGAAAATTACCTTTTGAAAAACTTAAAAATTATGATACAAATTTAACATTGGTATGTTACTAAAAATTTCATTTGACAATTCAAGTAAAAATTATTTAACATCCTTCTCCATGTGTATGTCAGGAGCAGCACCCAGCAGCCACCTCATGGTGGGTCCTACAGTCCAATGTCTGGAGTGAGTTGCGGAGCTGCACTGCAGAAGTGGAGAGACTGACTCCATCAGGACACTTGCTGGCACACACTGGCCAGCTGGCGTCCTCTCAGAGCCGATCTAAATCCAACATGGGTGTCTTGTCAATATGTGGACCAATAACAAGCACGTGAGGGCAGGTGCCCTGGTCTTTAGCAGGGTGGCTGCCCCAGCACAGGCCTCCGGGTTGGACCTGCTACGGGACAGAACAGGTGAACTACTGCCGTCCCTTCAACAAGCAGCCAGCCAGTGAGCCTCAACACACATCTGTGAGCTGCTCTGTAAAACGGGGGCGGTGTAGAAAGCACCAGGAGGCGGTCCCTCGAGGTGGGACTGGTTGCTGAGCAGGGCCTATGACATCAGCCTCTAAGGATCAGCTGGGCCTCAAGTCTGGATCCAGACCACTTGCAAGGTCAGAGGGCAAGAGCCTGGGATGGAGAGTACCCTGAAAACTCAGGAAGGGGTCCCAGAGGCCTCCAGTGAATCTCAATGGGAGGTCTCAGAGCCTTGGACCACCGTGGGGGCCCCTGATGCTGGACACTCCTGAATGGAGGACACACTATGTTCTCCCCACTCCAGCAGTCTCCAGTCTTCTGGGGCACAGAACAAGGCTTCTCCCCTAAAGCCTCCCAATCAGGCCCAATAATCAGTCTAAACCTATTTCAGGACTGCGAGGCATGAGCAGAGTTCTTGAGGGTAGAGCAATCACAACAGCTAAGATAGAAGTAACAACACAGGACATCGCGCCCACCCTCTGGTCCACTGTGGGATCGTCCTCTTCCTCACCTCTCTGCCTGACCATGCCGCGGACAGAAACCTGGCCTCTTCCCAAGACAACTGTCCTACTGTCAGAACCCCAGGAACCTACAAGTTCCCTCTGCATGCAGCCCACATCTGCTCACTGAGGTCTGGCTCTTGGAGCCTGACATTTTTAGGGAGCTGAAACCAGAAGGCTCTTTGGAACTGCTCCAGCATAGGGGCATTTAGAAAATCCTCCAAGAGAAAAGGGTTTTTTTTTTTTTTTCTTTTGAGACACTCTCACTGTCACCCAGGCTGGAGTGCAGTAGCATAATCTTGGCTCACTAAAACCTCCACCTCCGAGGTTCAAGCGATCCTCTCACCTGAGTCTCCTGAGTAGCTGGGACTACAGGCGTATACCACCATTCCTGGCTAATTATTTTTTTCTATTTGACATTTGCTTGTGACACACCATGCCCTCTGGAAAGGAGAGAACTGCTCATGCCTTCCCATGAAGACTTATTTTCCTCCCCTCTAATCAATGCCATGTACTGGTCTTCATCTGGAACAGCAGTGGGACAAGAGGAGCATGGGGGACATGCTCAGACCTGAGTCCAGAAGACTTCCCTGTGCCAAGTGCCCCGCCCCAGTCTCATATCAAAGACACTTCTTCACCCACAGGCCCCAAAAGCCCACCTGGGCTTCTTCTACCATCTCTACAGTTGAGGGCTCCTTTCTTGGAAAAGAAGGTTCTCCAACAGATAAAGCTGGAGTGTCTGCTGCTGCCCTCATGACAGCCAGCACAAGAACAAACCCATTCTACAAAAGGGGAAGTAATTTCCTGAAAACACAAACAAAGTGAAGTTTTTTACCAGTCTCCAGTTCAGGCCACCAGCGACAGGCTGGCTCTCGGAGCAATGTTGTGGGCAAGTAAACTCACGTCAGAGCCCCAACCTTCTGTAGCTCAGCCCTGCCTGGAGACTGGTACTGCACAGCACCCTCAAATGCCCTCAGACCTGGCACCTCCAGGTGCTGAGACCTGTCACTTGCCTTCCTTTGCTTATGCCTTGCCCGCTTTGCTGCACGTGTGCTGCTCACTGGTTTGGTTTCAGAGCTGTTTATAAACTGCAATAAATCCTCCACCCTCCGATGGTCAACGACGCTTTCCCTTTCTGAGATCTGATCCATTTTTTTAGGTTGCTCTTCTTTCCTCTTGGTCAGCCGTAAGCGAAGCTTTTCCCTCATTTCTGCGTAATTTCTACTTGTTGGTGCAGCTGGAGGCTGAGAAAAACAACAGTTACGCTTAAGTTTTAAAAATTTTGAATGTAATAAATTTCAGACCACACCTCCAAAAATAAACTGTTTTATTATTCAAGTAGTATATATTTGTTGTGAAAAATAAGGAAATAAAACCAGCAGAAAAAAAGAAAAACCTATCAGCAAGTCATCCAAAAGTGGTATTTTGATACCTATCCTCAAATTTTACATATTCATGAAAAACCTGGTAAAACATGTACAGCTATGCACATAAGTGAATTTTTAAACTAAAAAGGAAACAATTACAAATTCTGATTAATATACTTTATTTATTTATTTATTTACTTATTTTCGAGACAGGGTCTTGCTCTGTCACCCAGGCCGGAGTGCAGTGGTGCGATCATAGCTCACTGCAGCCTTGGTCTCTGGGCTCAAGCAAAGCAGCCATGTACCGTCACACCCACAGCTAATTTTCTTCATTTTTTGTAGAGAAAGGGTCTCACGGTGTCGCCCAAGCTGGTCAATTCCTGGGCTCAAGAGATCCTCCTCCCTTGGCCTCCCAAAGTGCTGGTATTACAAGCATGAGCCACCGTGCTTGGCCTCTACTTGTTATTTAATATGGTGTGAATATCTTTTCATGTCAATAAATGTGTCTGTAGTATCTTTCCATCCATTTGTAGGTTTCCTTTTTGGTGCCAAAAACAAAAAAAACCTGCCCTGAATCCTACTGCCAAATTTCTTACTATAAAAATATGTGCACATTTTAGGAAATGCAAACAGAGCTAAAGCAGAAAAAGAACAACTATAAGCCCCTGCTATTCCTACCACCCATCCCTCTTAAACTGCGGGTGATAACTGGTTGTATAAATTAAATCACAGCTCTGGAAAGACGGACAAGTACGTGTGTGTACCAATGCCCTCTGTATTCAAGCAAGAGAAATCCAACTGCACACACACAACGCTGCTGTCACTGGCCACAATGTTCCACCATATGGATACACCATGGTTAACAACCTCCTACCAATGGGTATTCAGTAGGAATACTGCACCCCTGATTTACCGATTACCTTAAAAACCACAAACAAAATGCAAAAATGAAGCAAAAAATCATTATGGCTAAATCTTTGGGCAAATATTTTTCTTTGCTTCTTTACGATGGATATATCCTAGAGGTGCAGAATTTCTGCAGAGGAGCCCGTGTGCTGCACACTTCCCACATCATGACGTGCTGACCTCACGCACTCACCCCGCCGTGCCCAAAGAATTCGCAGTAGCAGCAGTCGCAGTACTTGCCCTCCTTCTGGTTGGTGGAGGTTGAGGTGCTGGAGCTGTGCTCAGAGCAGCTGTCCTCATCTGCACTCTCGTCCCCATCATCTTGCTGTGGGTCGTAGACACCATTCTCGCAGCGGTGCCCTTCGCAGTCAGGGTCACTGCAAAATTGCACACAAGCTCATCGGCAAGTGGCCGGCCCCGGGAGGCAATGACTCCCATTGTTGCGCATGACCACCCACTGTCCTGCCCATTTCACAGACAAGAGGCAGCACAGAGGATGCATAGCCCCAAGGTTCCTAGGGAGTCATACACATGCACCAAAGACGTTGGCCAGGGGCTCACGTGGGAGGCATGGCGCACGCATGCAGGCGGTCCCTCAAAGCGCTCATACAGCGCCACTGAACAGGAACACGCAGTCTCTCCAATGACTCCTTCTAAGACTGTCCCTGCCACCACAGCTTCCATACTAAGGGGGAGAAGGGGTATAGCTTCAAATGGGAGAGTTCAAAGGTAACAGAAATTGTCTTAAAAGGAAAGTCTGGCCGGGTGCAGGGGCTCACGTCTGTACTCCCAGCACTCTGTGAGGCCGAGGAAGGTGGATCCCCTGAGGTCAGGAGTTCGAGATCAGCCTGGCCAACATGGTGAAACCCGTCTCTACTAAAAATACAAAAATTAGCCAGGCATGGTGGCGTATGCCTGTAGTCTCACTACTTGGGAGGCTGAGGCAGGAGAATCGCTTGAACCCAGGAGATGGAGGTTGCAGTGCACTGAGATTCCACCACTGCACTTCAGCCTGGACGACAGAGCAAGACTCTGTCTCAAAAACAAAACAAAACAAAAACCTGTTGAGTGTTTGTCGTATTGTGTTTTTACTATACACATTTCATTCATTTTCTTCTGATTCCACCCTAGGTATAACAAATACAACTTATACAACAAATAACAAACAATGTACGCCCCCGATGCTGTCAGTGTTTAGGGGTAACTGGCCTACCTTCCCATGGCAGCCCACTGCCCCTGCTCTTCTGTCTGCAGAAGTAGAGGCTGAGATGGGAGCCCCTCCACACTTGGCCTCTGCTGGGGACATCCTTGCATTCCCTCAGCATTTCACTAGGCTTTTCAACTGCATGGTCCCGGGGACGTTTCTGTAGCTGTGCTAGTGCAGTGTAACATCCATTTTCCAAAGTGCTCCCATGTCCCCAATCAGGACTTGGCTCACCTGCAGACACTTGGAGGGGCGCTAATGGAGCCATCTGTGGCCGGGGGCAGGGGTGCAGGACAGAAACTCTTGCGTGTGTCCACAAACCCGGGAGTTGTGGTTGCTGTTTTGGGGAATGATGGGGCTGCAAGATTTGCAAGGTGAGGTGTGGAAGCAGGTGAAAGAGCGGCAGGTGAGAGCGCGGCAGGTGAGAGTGCAGCAGGCGAGAGCGCTGGGAGGGGGGCCAAGCCCGTGGGGCTGTTCCTCGGGGCGGCTGGAGCCGAGTGTCTGTGGTCCTCCTTGCTGATGCCATGGAACACGTCACCTGCATTTAGAGAAGTGAGAGTCACTGCCAAGTTTTTGTTTCAAAAATGTTCAAACCTGCAGAAAATCTGAAAGAACACACAGAGTACCCATTCATCCTTCACCTTGCTTCATCATTACGACCTAATATTCTGTCCTGTTTATAAACTTTATTTCTTACATGCACACACACTTTTCGGCTGAATGTCTGCAAATTGCACTCGCCTCTAAAACACTTCGGCATGAGCTCCTCAGAACATCGACAGTTTGCTTTTTCAAAAAAAACTTCTTGGCTGGGTGCGGTGGTTCACGCCTGTAATCCCAGCACTTTGGGAGGCCAAGGCCGGCGGATCACGAGGTCAGGAGATCGAGACCAGCCTGATTAACTCAGTGAAACCTTGTCTGTACTAGAAGCAGAAAAAATTAGCCGGGCATGGTGGCACGTACCTGTAGTCCCAGCTATTCGGGAGGCTGAGGCAGGAGGATCACAGATCACACCACTGCACTCCAGCAGCCTGGGCGACAGAGCCAGACTCCATCTCAAAGGAAAAAAAAAAAAATCACCTTTTTCTTTTTTAAGAGACAAGGTCTCACTATGTTGTCCAGGCTGGTGTTGAACCCCTGGGCTCAAGCGATCCTCTCATCAGGGCCGCCTAAAGTCCTGGGACTACAGGTGTGA